AAGTGTGCGTGTGCATGTATCACAAATATGGCCTTGTAGATGCTTGATGGAAGGAGGAAGTAGCAAAAATCTGTTGGCATGTGTTAGTTGTTGTCACAAATGAATGACAGGCATGCATCCATTTTTGTAAAGTTGTGGCCTGAGAACTCATTGAGTCGCCTTCATATTACTTACAAGTTTGTTTGTTTGGGGTTTTTATTTTATTTTTTTACAAATTAGAAGCAAAGATCAGTTAGTCTTAAGGAATTGTTACAAACATTTTGAAAATGCAACAGAAAGCAAAGACATGCTTCAAATGTTGCTGCTCTGGTTGACGTGTTTCCTGCAACATGAAATGCTGCCGTTGTTTGATATGTAATCATGATGAATCAGCTCTGCTTGCAGTTTGTTCAAGCACAGGGTTCACGTGTCCTGTACCAAGACCCATCACATCAACATCAATTAAACACGTGTCCAGAGAGAGTGAGTGTGTGTGTGTGTGTCCATAGTTATTTCTGTTCTCTGAACACCGCAGCAGTGTGTTGCCATACTGTATGCACTGTTTATTCGTGTCGTAGCTGCTGCTTTCTAGTGAGACTAGTTAGTTCTGGAACCTGGTTTGCCTGCCAAACACCTGTGGGTGTGTGCGTGTGTGTGCGGGAGTGTCAGCTGTGTGTTGTGTGATGAGCTTTTATAGATCTGGAAGGCTGCCGCTATTGCTCTGGGGGGCAACAACAACACATGCATGTGCACATACACACTCCTCTCTTCAGGTTTATTTTTGTGTGTCTCCATCTCTCCCTTGACCATATGCATGTGGACTGTTTATTTTTGCTATAGGCCTGTAATGCACAGCTGAACTGAGTTTTTGCTTGTGTAGTTGGTGGAGAATAGCATCTTGTATCTTCCTTAGATAAAGTGACAGAATGAGTGGTCTAGGGCTGCCACAAACGATTATTTTGATAGTCGACTAGTCACCGATTATTTTTGCGATTAGTCGACTAATCAGATCATCATCCATTGGACGTACAGCTTATTGCACCAGCAGCATCTGGTCTTATATAACTATCATTAGCTTACAGCTTGAAGTGTTTGTGCTAACTAAAAATAAAGACAAGATGATAGTTTATTAATTTTTAATGAAATTTGCAGATTGTTTCGGTGAAGTTTAATAAACTCCTTGCTTTCTAAAATATAACAGGACACCGGAGTATATTCTCCAGCGTCTCACACTTCTGATAATCAGCTGTCTGCTTGACAGTTTTAGCTGTGCAAAAACTATAACTTTAATATCAGCCAAACCAATTTACTCAGGAACAAATTAAATACTAAAGAAAGCCAAACAATAACATTTTTAAGTTATCTAAGTGACTTATATATATGTTTAACCTGACTAGCGAAAGACGGCGGTGGGTTTGAAAATGATTTGCCGGGAGTCCGGTGTTCTCACGGCTCTAGTTAGCCTTGCCCCCGCCTAGCTAACGAGCTAGTGGGTAACAGACGTCTCCGAAAACGTCGGAGCGCTTTTGAAAATATGCGGTGTCTTGATAAACTGAGCAGATATTTGAGGTTTACACAGCTACATTCAAGCCTGAAAATATGTTAAACGTTTATTTTGTGACCCAGAAAGAATAATAAGAGTAAAGTTAAAACTAACTAGCTGCCGCCATTGTTGACAACTGCGCTGGGCTGCGCTATGAATTCTGGGACACAGCTTCTTCTTCTTCGGGGTTTAACGGCAGCTGGCATCCTTGTACATGCAGTGCTGCCATCTTCTGTTTCAGTCCGTTATTACACTCTTAAATCCTACTACTCATTCCTGCGTCCTTTGTGATCTTACAAAGCTTCAAACGATGCGTCGACTATTAAATTAGTCGTCGACAATTTTAATAGTCGACATAATCGTGACTAGTCGACTAATCGTGGCAGCCCTAGAGTGGTCTTAATACTGACTAAAATTTAAGTGCAGTTGAAGCTTACCAACATGGGCTGTACTGTCTAAACTGGAGGGATTGACTCTTCCGTTTCAAAATGTCAGCCTCGAGGAATCACTTTCAGGTGTAGTGGAGCCTTTCCCATTTACCATACCATTTAAGCATCAACACTTGGGTAGTTTATAATTACTGTAAATCATTACTACTGACTCTAGATTTAATAGCAGCTAAGAATAGACACAGTCACCGAAGACTTTTCAGTTACTTACTGGTACCTTTACAGATGCCCTTTTACCTTCAGGACTGCCTTGATTTTGTTTTTTTTGTTTTTGTTTTGTTTTTTGTGGCATGGTTTGAACAAGCTGTTGTTGGTGACGATTTGTCTGTTGCACATTTATTATGAGAACCTCCTGTTCCGCCACATCCCAAAGGTGCTCTATTGGATTGAGATCTGGTGACTGTGGATGGCATTAGAGTACAGTGAACTCATTGTTATGTTCAAGAAACCAATTTGAACTGTGTGACGTGGCATATTATCCTGCTGGAAGTAGTTATCAGAAGATGGTTATGTTGTTGACATAGTTTCCAACAATACCCAAGTAGACATTTACACATTTGCACATGCTCAGTTGGTACTAAAGGGCCCAAAGTGTGCTAAGAAAATAACCTTCACAGCATTACACCACCACTGGACTGACCTGTTGATACAAAGCAGGATGGCACCACACTCTCATGTTGCTTGTGCAGATGTTGCAGCAAAAATTACGATTTCAGGAGACAAAGCAATGTTTTTGGTGAGTTCATACAAATTGTAGCCCATCTGATTCAACATTTTCACAAGTGATTATTTAAGTTACTGTTGTCTTCCTATCAGCATGAAACCGTCTGGAAGTTTTTCTCTGTTGATTAATAACAAAGCATTTTTCTGGGTACTTTGTCCTTCTCAGACCATTCTCTGTAAAGCTTAGAGATGGCTGTGTTGGGGGAAATCCCAGTAGACCAGCTGTGGGACACTGCTACGTTCAGTGTCACTAAACTCTGCTTTCTTCCCCTTTCTGGTGCTCAGTTTAAACTTGACTGTGTGTACGTGTCCAAATGCATTGAGTTGCTGCCGTGTGATCTGTTCTTGACTTTAAGGAAACAGCAGAAGCACATGGGTGTGATGACAGTTAAAACAAGAACCACTATTTCCTCTTCCTACATCAGAATAATACACTGGTTGTAATCTCCAGCAGCATTGTCTTATTTTATGACTGCAGTTTCTCAACAAGGGACATTATGTATCTATTTTTATTTGTTGTTTTAATAAGTATGAATCATTTTTTAATTATTATTTTAGTAAAGATTTTAAAAGTATTTTATTAGCCTTTCTGTTTGTTTGAAAAATGGTTGGTTTTTGGTTTGTCAGATAAAATCAACCACTTCAAGCATGTTTAGAACAAGGAAACCCACAATCACCGTCTTATTCCCTGCTACAGGACTGTTCTGTAAATGTTTGAGGCCATCTACCCCAAGGCTCTTTTTGGTGTTGCGTAACTGAACTTCTTCCTCCTGAATGAGCAATGGGAAATGGCAAAGTGTAATTTCCTGCAAGCCAAGGAGGGCAGAAAGCCTGGGCTCTGTAAAAATGAACTTGACATATGCGTTTGTGTGTCTACACACAAGCAGACACTCTCACAGACATGTACGCACAGTGCGATGACTGATGGCCCCATTTATCACCCAGTAATGCGGTTACATTATCGTCCTGCGTCCAGTTGTTGCTTGGCAACAGTCATTTTCCCTGTGGTCGTCACAGCAGTGGTTGCTGTTTGCAGCAGTGTTTCTCAGCTGCTGTGTCCAGGCCTGATAGAGCATTGTTTTCATCCACCGGCTCAAGAAACTACTGCAAGATTATGAGACCCAGTAAATTGCGCAAGTGGCAAAATCCATTCTTTGAAAGAGATTTAGTTCTTTTGTTGCCGGAATGAATGCACGTCATATGGATGTAGTATTTGGTTTAAGTTCTTAGAATATCCTGCTGACAACATGGTAACTGGTTCCTTTTTGACAGTCATATGCCAGGCAGCATGGTGGTATTCATAATGTTCCTTATGTATAATACAGAAAGATTCATTGTTGAAACAAAGTTTTTAACCATGTCTTAGTTAAACATGCCAGGGAAAATCGGTGCTTGCTTGGAAGTGGGGGGGGGGGGGGTTTGTGGAAAAAAGAAGTTTTCTTCCCACGCACAATGCTAATGGACGCTAATGTTTTTGTCACTTTTTATGGAATCAAACTCAAAGTAAGCTCAGTACTTCCACGCTTTAAACGCTGCACGCTCATACTCCCTCCCGCACTTGATATATGATCCATTGTTGATCTGCACACAGCTGTTGTCACAAACGTCGCACTTGCTAACGTCACTGTCATGAGACATTCTCGCAAAAAATCACGGTTTTAGTAACGCAGTAACGCAGCGTTCCTACGGGAAAGTAACGGTAATCTAATTACCGTTTTTGCAATAGTAATCCCTTTACTCCTTACTTGAAAAAAGTAATCGGATTACAGTAACGCGTTACTGCCCATCTCTGGTCATCAATGATGCTAAAAATGGGTACCAGCCATAAGAGATCTTTTTGCTGAAATACCAGAAAATTGTTCCAAACAAATAACAATTATGTGCCAAGTTCTTACAATAATCTGTTTTTCTTGAATGGTTTTCATGGTTCTGTCTTCCCACATTGCCACAACGGTCTTAGTTTCAGAAAAGTTCATTGTGTTCTAAATGTAACGGTTGATTATGCAACTAAACAGACAAGTCCAGAAGTGCAAGTTTCTCATCCACTAGTCCCTGGGCTGTCTTTAATGCCCTGGGTGTATGCTTGGTGTCTGCTGAGCTGTTTTACCTTTTTGTTCTCATAAACATTCCTGTTCAACCTCTTTTGAGCTCCATCCAACAAAAGCTGCAGCGGTCCCAGCCTTTCCACTCTTGTCAATCCATACTTATTTTGTTGTTCTCTGGGTTGTGTCAGTATGACCTGTTTGTGATTATACTTGGTGAACAACTCCCAGGCGTAACCTTTTCTTTCTCTTTTCTCTCTGCAGGGCTCCAGAGATTATTTTGGGCCTGCCATTTTGTGAGGCCATAGACATGTGGTCGCTGGGATGTGTGATAGCTGAGCTCTTCTTGGGTTGGCCTCTCTACCCTGGAGCGCTGGAGTACGACCAGGTGACTTTCCCCTCCCGCACACACGCACACAAATGCGCGCACACACATGCACACTCTCAAGGACAGAAAGCCTGAAGAGGGAGACCTTTCATAAATGAAGGCGGAATAAGGTGGAGAAAATAAAATTAAACCTAATTTTTGCAGAAAATAAATTTAGTGTGTATAATTCATTCTTGGCTGTGTTTTCCCAGGAGCCTAACGATAGTATTTTTATTACACAGTTAAATCTTCATTTGTTGTTGCTTCCCAATCTCTCTCCTGCTTTATGACTGTGGTCCAACAAATCCTTGATGAAGTCCACCTAATACTAATCTGGACTAAGTGAATCAGGAAATTGTTCCTGGCAGTGTGTGATTATCTTCCCACAGGGTTGGGCGATCTAAACTATACAACAGGGACCCTAAACGGAGTCCCCGGGCAAGGGAGAGGGAGCATGGGAACAGGCCCATAACACATTCACAGACTAGTGCAGGATTATCCAGCATTTGACCATAGTCAACTCATCGAGGTCCAGAATGAAGGCCATCATGGGTTTAGAAATTTGAAGGGAAAAAAGTGGGACACCGTTGTGTGTTTTGACATGAATTTCAAACATCAAATAATCAAACGTAGTTGTTTTTTTGTTTTTTTTTTTTAAAGAATCGATTGCTTGGTTGCCAAACCAAGCAATCGATTCTTTAAAATCGTCCCTGCTTTATTGTGTGTTCCTCAGTGTTTTTGGAGGTCCTTGTTCCTCTAGAAGCAGCTAATGCTTTGAACTGTCATCAGTCAGAGAGTAGCTGATAGTCATCCGCTGAACTTTGACAGCTCTGTATCACAGGGCCATGCCAGGACACACACTCACGCGTGCACATCGAGTCCCGAAAAGCATGCTGTCCTATGCCAAGGCTCACTGCAGTTCCACTCTACACAGCAAAATGTATTTATAAACATAAGCCTGATGGTAGACAAGTGCGCACACTCACACGTGCACACATAACACACACTTGTGCACACATAGACAGTGTGGTTGGCGTTCAGTGCACCATCAGCAGGTTCTCAGTCCAGTGCTCTCTGGCAAGTCGGTGTATTTGTTCTAGGCCGTAGACATGACATGTACACACATACACACTGTAAAATTGTTACTGTAGGATTTGTGTTTTTCATGGAATTTCTGGAGTATCGTAGTATTTAAGATGTTTAATCAAGCCTGGGGGGTCAGCTCAACCAATCTTGGTAAAAGACAGCCTACATCTGGGCAAGATGGTTTACTTCTGTGTTATCACACTGTGAAGGTAATCCCACCTTCAGTGGCATTTTAAAATGTCTCACAAATTAGTAAAATTAAGCATGGGCTGATAAATAGAAATGGATTTTCATGCTCATTAAATAAACATCAGATAGAAGCCTACACATCCCAATAAAAACATTGTGAAATTACATGATTCAGCTGTGTTAAACTTTGTGATTTCTTGCAGTCAACTACAAAGAAAGTTTGGACTTGTTAGTGCGAGGGGGAAAGGGTAAAATGTGGCCATCCTTGCTTACACATGGACTGAGAACATTTGAATCTGTCACTTTACATTTGAGCCTTTGATTACATTTTGTGGGTGAAGATTGTTATAAATAAAATGGTTTCTCCAACATGCACTATGGGGTACATGTTGGAGAAAGTGTTTCAGTCTACCTTATGTTCTTTTTAAAGAATAGTCATATACATATTTACACAAGCAGACTGCATCAGCTGATTTAAACTAATATAGAAACTGGGTAAAATTCATTACATTCATGATGCTCATGTTGGTGTGGTTTTATGCAGTGATTGTGTAAGTTGTTGTGACTGATTGTGACTTTCCTGTTATTTTCTTCCTCTTCCTTCCTCTGCCTCTTCCTCACTGCGTCCTGTCTGCTTTCTTGCACCGCTCAGATCCGGTACATCTCTCAGACTCAAGGCCTGCCTCCCGAGCAGCTGCTCAACAAGGGGACCAAGACCTCTCGTTTCTTCTCCAAAGAATCAGATTCTCCCTATGCATCGTGGAGACTAAAAGTATGTGCATTCAGATCCTACAAAAATAGACACATATATGACACAAACACAATGTCTGCCTCTTCCTGCCAACTACACGTCATTAAAAGTCAGTAATTGTTTATTAAAATTTTAGAAAAAAGTCAAGTGAAAGATCCTTGCAGTCAGGGAAAAATAAGAAGTGGCAGTACATTCCCAATAGGAAACAGCTGCATGATCTTTTCCAAACAGAACAAAGCCGGCAAACCCGGAGGAAAGCCGAAGGAAATGTGAAACTGTGTTTAGACTACCTGCTGAGCTGACTTTAAATACAGTTTAAATGAATGTAAGCCGAGTGTTTATCTGTACGTGTACTTTCCAGCAAAACTCAGTTGGAACAAGTTGCGCGTCCAGATTTGCATGCTGACGTGTATAGTTTGCTCTCCCTGCTATGTAATACTCTAACCTTTCATCCCTCATCTCTGAAATAAATCCAGTAATAATTTCCAAAACACAGAGATGCAAGCCCCTGCTTATACAAAAGTCTTAACATATTACATTTATGTGTCTGAAATATTTATCTTCATGTTCCTGTTCATCCTCCAGACAACAGAGGAGCATGAGAAAGAGACAGGACTTAAATCCAAAGAGGCCAGAAAGTACATCTTCAGCTGTCTGGATGACATAGCCCACGTGAGTCTTTATAAACCAAATCACTTGGATCAAATCAAACCACACCAGACACAAATAAAACACCTTACAATACAATACAAGTCTTACCTTCACAAAATATATATTTAAACCTAAGTTTGTGGCTGTGACTTGCTCTGTCAATTAGGTGAACTTGGTGCTGAGTCCTGATAACGCTGACATGCAAGCAGAGAAGGCAGACAGGCGGGAGTTTGTGTCTCTGCTTAAGAGCATGCTTTTGGTCGATGCCGAAGACAGGACTGTTCCCACCAGTGTCCTCAGTCACCCCTTCCTCACTATGACTCATCTTCTGGACTACCCTCACAGCAACCAGTAAGACTACGACAGCTCACAAGATGTGTTGATTTTCACATTCCTGTGTGCTTCCTTTCTCCTGTCTAACTTAGAGCACACTGGCATGGTAAAAATACAGTATGTACTCGTGAACCACAAACGTACAGCTTCCCTTGTCACCCTTACCAGTGTGCAGTCATCTTTCCGCATCATGGACATGTGCCACACTCGGTCCAGCAATGCAGTTTTTGACGCTCTCAACCAGAACACCATTCATTTCTCAAGGCCACCTCTAGCTCCCACTGCCTCCTCTGGCCTCCTGGGCTACAGCAACATACCAATCCACACTCAGGTGAGAATGTGCTAGGAATAGGTTTAGTCTGTCATTCAGCACAGCAAGTGCATAAATGCCTCTAAACATGTACAATTAATTAACATATTGTTTCTGTTGGCATATTCTTTAATGTTGACCTGAAGTTGCTGTAATGCATCACTGTAGTAAACTGGATTAAATATTTCTGTCACATTGACTTCACTGGCACCGCTGTCGTTATCTTCTTTTCATGGCTAACCTTTGTTGTGTCTCTTTGTCACCTCTCCTTTTCATTTCCTCTCTTCTCCTCTACCTTCTCACCTGATTTCTGTCTATCACTCACTGCTCTCTGCTCTGCCGTTGCCTCTGTGTACACGTACCTGAAGCAGGCTATCACCCAGTCGGCTCCATCAGTGTTGCATCCGGGGATAGCTCTGACAACCGGAAATGGTCAGTTTGGGTGCAGTGACTCATTCCCACCTGCCCTCCTTCTTTGTCCTCCAACCATGCAAGGTATATCGACTGTTCATAGCTTCTTTTGGCAGTTACACAACATTCATTTTATATTTTCTAAGAAGTAACTTTACCAAAATGGCATAAAAATTTAGTTATTGTGTAACAGTTTAATTTAATTACATTTTTCTGTTTTTTTAAGGCAACCTTAATCAGCCAGCAGGTTATTCTGTCCCCATGGCAACTCAGGCACCTCCTATACAACCCTTACCTGTGAGGCCTGGTGTAATAGCTCAGGTAAGCTCTGTACATGCAACAATAAGTTGAACTGTTAAAGAAGCAGTGGCAGACACACCCTGAGTAACTCTCAGCTCCCGTCGCCCTACTGCTGATGCGTCACTGAGTAAAAGTTCCTCAAAAACCACTTCTGACGCCAATGGAGATCAAAAGAAGATTACATAACATCTATGATTTGACTCCTTTGTCCCTGTAGCAGGCCTGGTCTAACCGGGGGCAGCAGCTCCTTGTCCCAGCAGCCTGGCAGCAGATGACTCCAGTAGGGCCTCCTCCCTCTCACCCACCACCACCACCACCATCCTCCCTAACCAAGGACACCACAGCTGGACCTCAGCGAATCAGCGACTGGGGGTGAGTCACAAAGACTTAAAGTCTGGGGAAAGTCCCTGCTTGCAAGACTTGCACTGGTCAACATTTTTCTGTCAAATTCTTTATTGGCATGTGTGCAAAAATGATAAGATTCATTTTGGGAATTACCAAATTATGTGCAAAGCAGGGTTGAAATATCATTACTGGAGTTCTTGTCATGAGTTGTAACTGTTTTTCTTATCATGTCACAGCATGTTTTCTATTCTCTTTATGCTTTTACCCGAAATATGGAGCTTCATGTTTCTCTTTCACCCTTTACTCTTAAAATCTGTAACAGGAAAGTGCGTCCACACAACAGCCACTATAACGCAGTGATCAAACAACCTCTTCTGACTAATCAGATGCCAGCGCTCTCGGCCCATCAGCCGATCAACATTGGCATAGCTCACGTTGTGTGGCCACAGCCAACCAATAAAAGGAACAGGCGCAGTCACAACAGGTTGGCTTCTGCTCCTTGTGCACGTCTTTGGATTTTAGATTCTCTGTCACTGATATATTAAACATTTATGAAATAATTCTGTTTAAAGGAACCTGTCTCACTCCAGCAACGTCCACATCACTGGATGTCGGACCCCCAAAATGGCTGATGCTGTTGAACAGGCAGTGGCAGGAAGGGAGCAGCCTCAAAGGGAGGTGCCTTTAGTGGAAACCAGGCAACCAGAAGTTCAAAACACAGATGAGGACGATGATGATGCAGAGGAGGAAGTGAGCTGCTTCAAAGAGGTGGCGACGAACGCTAATAGAGAGTCGGACTTGCTCAGGCAGCGAGATGTAGCGGTTCTGATGGCCGGCACTGACGGGAGCCCCACGCCCAGCGTTATCAGCATCCACAGTGATCTGACAGATGCAGAGGATGAGGGTGGGGAGGAACAACCACTGAGGTGCCGTCTGAATGAGTGAGTATAATCAGGAAAATGAACTCGTTCAAGCTCACCCTGCTTATGAGGGAAAACATGTCAGCTTCACGTACAACATTCTGTGAAAGTCCCTGCATTATACAAGAGACTACCTCTAAATTCGGCTGTTTCAGACTAAAAAAAAAATCTAAAAACGTCTCCTCAGGTGCAAAGAGAAGTGTGTGTGTGAGGCTTGCGGAAACACCAGTTTGTCTATGGAGAGAGTGTGCTCACTGAGCAGCCCCGACAGCAGCCTCAGCACCAGTTCGTTTGCCTCCAACTCTCTTCAGTCCAGCCCTTCAGTCTCACCATGCAAGAGAGCCAACAGGTAGCAGTTTACATCCTTCAGTAACTAAAAAAAAAGTTGCTCAACAGAAAAACACTGAAAACACTTTTAAGTAGCGGTTGCTTGAATCTTCTTTATGTTTGTTTGTCCCTCCCCTCCCGTTCAGCATGTCTGAGGATGATGGTCACGAGAGCGGCTGTGACACAGTGGAAGGCTCCCCCTCATCCGACACGTCGACTTCCCCTCGCGGCAACAGTTCCTATCGTTACCTTGACAACAGTAACCACAACAACCACCCGTCTTTGGCTGCTGTAGTAGCGCCACTACCTTCGCCTACTGTGCAGGGCAGGAGCCCACGTGGCATCAGGACAATGGTAGTTCCACCAATGAGAGTGCAGAATAACAACACTCAGGGGATAGAGGAGCGTGTCCAGAGAAACGGTCAGTGAAAACTGATTCTTCAATGCAAAGTTTGTCTATGTGTATAATTATAACCTGAGGTTGTTTTTGTTTTATTGAATCTTTTTGTTTGTTTTTTGTTACACGTACAGAGAGCTTTGTGCTGTTTTTGTTTTTCTTTAAAAAGTGTATAAAGGTGGAGTTTTTAAACAACCCACCTGAAATAGTGGTGGTGGTGGGGTGGGGGTGGTCATGTTTTTGGCCCAGTTGTGTGGTCTGTCACCTGTGCTTTGGTGGTGTTTGCTTTACAGGTCATTTGGAAGCAGTAGGGGCTTACCGCCCCCTAGTGGGTCATAGAGGCTTTAACAGGTGATCAAGAGACAACAGCAGAAGACTTTCTTCTAGTCTAAGACCTCAAAAGATGCATCCATTGTAGGCAATGCTAACATTGCCTCTGTTATGGCTTTCCCTCCGTTTGAGTTGAAACGTTCCTCAAAAGTTTTTCTTCTTTAAATCTGCATAGTCTTCCATCAGTGATCCACATTGTATTACAGTAGTTTCTAAAGGTTTACATAAAGACAGGACAGGATACTCTGTTGGATCCTACGTACGGAGGGGGAAAGGAGGATGCATTTGGTTTGGTACTGGACCAGAGCTTGAGTTTTTGCCGTTGGTTCTTGCTGTGCAGCAAAAGTTATCCTAAGACACTGACATGAGATCAGTTTCTATACCCAGAATATAATTTGGTATTATAAATGTGTTAATTGTGCAGTGAGTTTAAAACTGATACAAATCAGAGTCTGAGGATCAACTTTGCTCAGATGCCATTTTCTGAGTGTCCATTTTCCCCTTTGCCTGATTTTATGGATTTTCTTATCTGTTTAATGGTTCTGTGTTGTATGTGAAGATTCCCAGCTGTTTACATATATTCAGGAGTAAGGCTTTTTTTTTTTTTTTTTTTTACATTTTGAGTCATGACAGGTTAAAATATGTCATGTTAACTTAAATTAGTAATGGTCACATTTTGAGATGCCAAAAGTTTCATGTTCTTTAACCCTTTAGAGCCGATCGGAGCGGGAACGCTCTGTTATGCGTAACTATTTTTAAATCCCAGTAGCACTGCAACCACGTAAGCTAGCGCAAAAAA